TGAACTTCTTAAGGCCAGCTAGCACTGTAACCAGGCAAGTATCCATGTGCAGTAACACTGAATACCATCATTCAACTTTCATTGAAAGCAGTCTTCTTGGGATCTTAATATTTTACAGAAGTCATCCAAATGTGCTTACTCTGAGAGAGTGCTCATTTGTTCTCCCTTGAAACTGATTCAGTTAATAAAACCTGTGCTGTGTGGATCTTTGCTGCCCCCTTGTGACACGAGAAAGATACTTTTGTAACTTGACTCACCTCTCCCTGTTGTTTGAATCAGCAGTAATTATAAAACCCAGAGACACCATGAAAAAAGTCTAAACAATCTTCAGCGACAGACTCAGACTACAAAAGTTGTTATTTGACCATTTCTAATACATGATTGTTATTGAGCATGTCTAAAACAACTAAAAGAGTTATATGTACATCAAGATAAATCCTCCAGCAATAGATACAGATGCCTTATTGAGTTATATATCTTTTTTGTGCATGTAAGTTTTGCAAAGTGAAAAAGCCCAAAGTCCACCCCAAAGGGAGTTCCTATCTCCCACAGAAAACACTGCTCTGAACTGACTGAAAACAGCTTGTTTGTAGTCAAGCCTTTACTTCCGTTAACAAGTTGTGTCACTTTGTAACATGCGTCATAAGCTTAGCTGCTAGTCAGGCACGCCCTCAAAAACACTGGTGGAGAAACACACTGAGCTGCAGCACAGAGAAGAAGTCCACCTGCTGCCTCCCCTCACCCCCACTCTTCCTACCAAACGTTAGATTGTCAATGGACACAAAGTTGTTACCATGATGTAGAGACAGTGCACAGTTAAAACCTTTTGTATGAAAGATCAAATTGTTACAAATTAATAACTCACCACTCTGAAATACTTGCTCCAGCCTAGGTTGCTGAGCTGGTTCTGGAACGTATACAGTTCGCTGTTACTCACTGTGTGTAAAGAAGGTTTACAAGAAGGTTTAAAAGAAAGAAACACGGCCGCAGTATGAAAACAGCGAGAAAAAGCATGGCAGACAATAGAGGACCGACTTAATAACTAAGTAGCTAAAAATATCACTGCTCCTAACTGAAACTGTCATAATTATAATGTTACCATGAATGATAACGTTATGTCAGACCTTATAAGTGAGCAGTGGACGTTAATATGTCACTCAGCAAATGTATTAATTACAACCACTAATCAACATACTATCTATTCAATTCATATATATATATGGGGGGGGGGGGGGGGGGGCAAATAAACCTTTCTTAAAGCATTTTCAGTTATTTACCATTTTTTATTGCAAGCAACATTTTTAACAAATGTTTTTAAACAGTGCATATATTGACAGAGAGGCTGGAGGTTTGTCAATTTTGTGTGAAAATGGTGTACTTGTTTAGTCAGTATGGATAACAGATATTAAGTCAGTGACGTGGTGCTCATAGAAAATACTGTATCATATTTGTAACTTGACCCTGAGTCTGTAGTCCTACAGTCTGACAGCCAGTCTGCCAATGTACTAAGTATTACCTGAAGGACATCCACAGATGAACACTTCCTGCTGCGCTAATTGATATATATTTTACAAACTGTCAGATGTCTGAACACACTTGAAAAAATTAAGAAAATAAAATATCAATAAAAACCCTGGCACTGACTTGTAAATCCAGCAATTACAAAGTGATACATGCAAAGCACACTGTAAGCATGACTGTAACACAATGTATTAATCATTGTTTTCTCTCCCAAGCTCGCAGCAGATGATCCCAGGGAGAGAAAAAAAGGTCAAAACTCTTTGTGGTGTCCTCTCCCTGTTGTTTCATGAATAAACAGTCTACAATATAGCCTGCTTATTGAAATGGGACTATAATTGAGCATATTATAGCCAACAATTATGAAAACTAATGAAAATGATATAGGCCTATATACTTGTGTACATACTCCTATATAGTATGTGTGCCATAGGCTACATTTCTTGAGTGACATATAACGTCCACTGCTCACTTCTATCTTGGTTTTGTGAAACAGCCCTCTGTGTGTGTATACTAAAAAAAACAAAAAAACTAATAACACCAGAGTGAGAACATTGAATTTCCCCTTTTGGGATTAATAAAGTAAATTCTTAAATTCTTACTGGCTTGTCAGGACCCTAGCTACTCTGCTTCTGGTTGGCTAGTAGTCCTTAACAAGGCCTACTGTGCATGCGCAACTCCCAACAAAGATTTTGTAGAAGTCCTCACTCCGTAGCTAAAACGGATCATTCAGCACACAGGTTGAAAAGAGGAGCAGCAGCAATGTGCAGTATGACAAAAATACGGCGTGAAAATGAAACCATGTAAACCTATTCTGGTAAGCTGCGATGGACTGGCGACCTGTCCAGGGTGTAACCTGCCTTTCGCCCGATGTCAACTGAGATTGGCTCCAGCCCCCCTGTACACAGGATAAGCAGTTGACGATGGATGGATGGATGGACCTATGTAAGGCAGCTTTAACGCCTCAACACTATGCCTGTAGCAATAATGTGAATGTGTGAAAACTAGTTAGGAAGAAAGCACAGAAGTCTAAACGGGGGGCTAAAAGTAATGGATAAATGTTTGAAATCCAGCAGATAGCTGAAAGTAATGACTAAACATACAAATGATTAGCTAATAGTAATGAAAAAATGGCTGGGGCATTCAGCTTCACTGATTGCTGACCAAACCAACCTTAGCCCTCTCGTGCATGAATTATTAAAAACATCATCTATATTTTCTTAAGATTCTTTTTATTACTCAAAATTGAGCTAAAAAACAAATCCATTTTCCTTTTTTTTAAATTCTGTTTTATTTTAATATTATTTAACTGTCCACGTATGTGGACATCATGCAACAAAGGAGTAAAATGCCACACATGACATTATGGAATATTATGTTTTGCTATATATTTAAGCTCAATAGTTGAAAATTAACAATAAAACACATATTTTAGGAACAATTGAGAGGATAAACACTCAGGGTGGTATTTATAAGTGTATTTACATGTATGCAGAAACCCAGTAGCGTATTGTTATCCTTATCTAACTTAATGTTGAATCATCTCAGTTTTAACACATCAACATCCAACATAGAACAGATTACATAGTTATAGTTCAAACTTGTTTCTTTACATTATGTGACCACAAAGCAGTCAGAAGTGTCAGTGTCAGTGTCAGTCATCTGCTCCAGTGGAGCTGCTCAGTGGCCAACTATGGTTGTACTGCAACGTCTAGCTGTGTACACGGTGAGTGTGAGCTGGGTGTTCCTGTGAGGAGCAGTTATCCCCAGCAATTTTGTTTATAGGACGCTAGACTTTAAAATAGTTTTTGACTGATGAACCAGTGTGTGCATAAGGTTGCACTGAGCAAACCCCCAACATTTCCCATGACAATCAAAAGTATCATTCCTACACATCAGCCCTGTTTCATAAAGCATGAGCTCATTATATTTTGAAATAAGTAATAACCCGTTTGATCACTAGAGGGCATCAAAGTTCAGCATTGACTGGCAAACTATAGCCTACACTTTTACAGGGCTCTAGCAGGCTGCATATTTCAAAAAATAAATGCCTAATAAAGATGTGTCGTGGCTTAACTTGGTGGCTATGAGCTAAAAACAAGATCAATTAGGCTACGTCAAAAGATAGGTAGGTTATCTTAACGACTCATATGAGGCGGTTCCAATTTGAATGTTGTGCTTGTGTAACAGACTAGACTCCGGGCTTTCATAAAGAGGAGGTTCAATAATATTGTGTTTCCGGGTGAAATCACTACTCAGAAGTTTTGTGCCGGTGGTATGTGGATGTTGGAAGACAGCCGGAGCCCTCCATGCCTCAACTGGAGAACTGCACAAATCAGCTTAAACCAGAAGAAAGAAGATGAGACCTTCACAATAAAAGCCTTGTCGTGTCACTTTCGAACAGCAGGGATCTTTTCAGTCAAGTATGTTGTTTATAAGCGGTAATAAATGCAGACAGTGTTATTGTATCATGAATTATATATATAATAATAATAACTTATGAGGGAAAACACTGGACAAACGAAGAAAGATGGAGCATCCCACATAATAGATATTTGCTAATGCTGATCTTTAAAATTGTACACTTCTGTTTTGACCTTTAATTTAAACAAAGTGAACAGTAGGATGGACTGACAGGCTGCATTAGTGATGTTGTAATTTGGAAACAAACCCTCGAGCTGCTGTAGCACCCTCTCAAACCCATGGTGAACTCATGGTGATTCACAGCTGTGAATCCTACACTCAGGTGAAACTCATCTGGTTGGTAGTTGGTCAGGGCAGTGCTTATACCTGGATCAAGGAGCACATAGACCTCATAAGGGGGCAACAGCTCTCAGGGTTGCAGTGGATGCCTCTATTGCAGAAGATGCATAGTAAAGAGTCAGCAAAACAAATCTTTATGGCAACGTTTGTTTGGTGAAATGTACAGTAGTAGCCTGTGAGCTTGAATGCAAAGTTTTTTAATTGCCAACTAGAAATAAAGTCATACAAAAATCATACATGTAAAGTCCTAATAGTTGTTAGAGTGTCTCTAGATGACCATTTTAATTGTACTCTGAGTGGAGTGTATTTGTACTACAGTGCAGTTTCTGTAGCTGAAATATTAGCCCACTACAACCCACTATGACTTTCTTGTGTCATCTTTTCTTGGCATACTTTTAATGTATTTTAAACAAACATCTGCATACAGAGTCACACCATTTCAATGCCAGTGAACCAACTCCATCCAATCCAATCTGATTATTCTATCAGATCTTTTTGTGTTTATGGCCTACTACTGACTTCGTGTGGCCGAACTCTGTGTTATAAAACAATGTGAATTCAAATTCAGGGTGGACTTTCCGTTTGATCAAAATGTTGCAGCTTGAGTCTGACGTGGGCTACTAGCTATCATCAGGAAGGGTTTTTATTTTGAACATGTTGAGCGGAGGTCCTGTTTTTCTGTTCCTCTCGCTGACTTGACATTGGTGGCGGAGGGAGAGCTGGCGGAGGAAAAAGCAGCGGTGGTGGTTCACCTTCTGAAATAAACAGGAAGCAAGCGAGCACTACTGTTCACCTGCGTGATAGTCCTGCGTACGGAGAGGCCGGGCGGAACGCGTGATCTGCCACACAAACATTTTGCATTTGAAACTACTCTGTCGTGACAAGAAATATTAACTTTCAGCTGTTTGTTTTCCCGGTACATTTTTCAACGACCTGATACCAGAGAGTGACTGAAGGTAAGTCCCCGCTTGTGCTTATTAATTACAGACCCCAAACTCCGTTAATCAGTCTGTTAATTGATTTCACATTGCTTAGGCTGCTATCCACAAATAATAATTTCCCTGCCTCCGAGAACATAACCTACTAAGAAGTTCTGCGAGTCCACATTTTTATTCGACACATAATCAGCAAAGTAGTTTGTCAAACAATATGTATGTATATTCATTTCGTCTGGTGGAATTGTTTTATCGGTCATTGCCGTAACGCGACGTCCATTAGCCTGTATTGGACTGTGATGGGCGGTGGTAGCGACCACAGTTTTTAAGTTGCAATTTCATGAATATAAGTGTTTCCCGGGTAGGCCGCTAAGTAAGCTGGATGCCGAATAGGCCAGGAGACCTTGTAGATGTGTTAAGGGTTTAACATTTGTTTGGAGAGTTGTTGACTTAATCCGCCTACCGAGAGAACAACAAATGTAGCCAATTTCTAAATTAAGTTTGTTCAGTGGCCCCCGTAAGAGAGCATAATGTGGAATTCCGGAGTCTTTATACCTCAGGCGAGGTGAATCTGATAAGTGCTTATATTGTAACTTGTTGTTGCTGCGTTTTGGCGTACGTGTTAAATTTCCCCATTCTGACAACAGTGACACAAGCACTTAGCTATTTTAGGCCCCAGCCTCTGAACTTGGACTTTAACTGTAACCTTAGGTTTTATGAAATAACAGACAAGTTAGTGTCATTTCATATTTTGTATTATCTAAGAAGTTGTCATGTGACAGACTCCTACCTACAAATAGGTAATCATTCTGTTTTTGCAGATCAACCTATTATTTTTCCTCATTGTGATCGGTGACCCCATGGCCATTGGTTACCATTTCAGGAAACCATCTAACTTATAAAACTAAATGTAGTCTCAGGGATCATTGGGACACACTATACAGTGCTTACTCCAAGCTGTGTCACTGATGACAGCTGTGTCTTTTATTGTTGAGAAATAAACAACAACTCAGACAGAAAAAGAGGATATGAAACTATGGAGAGTAATTCCTTTAGTCAGCTTCTCTGCCATATCCATATGAAGCTTTTGGTTTTATTGGATTCAGTAATGAGATATATCTTTGGTAGGGTTCAGCTGCTATGTAGATGATCATCCTGATATAGTGGCTCTCAAGCTGATTCATAAAAAACCTTCATGAATAAACATGTGTGGATTAATATTACCTAGTTTGGGTGCAGTGTCTATTCCAGCCAGTCATATTAACTTTAATCGTTGTTGGTGTGCTTGGAATTGGCAATAAAACATACCTGAAAGATGTATAAGGAGTGTGTTTTAAGTATTTTACAACTAATATGTGAATTGACAGTTGGGCTACTTCTTGAGAATGACTCAGGTTTCAGCATGTCTCTCAGCCATCCTCTTTCTGATTAAAGGAAAAGGATCAGTGCCAACTATATTGCATGTGTCATACTGTACATGGAAGAGACTGTGACTGCTTGTGTCTGAATGTCCTTGCACATCCTCAGCGTAGATTTTGTGTTGATAATGCCAGGCAACATGAAACAGATGTAACAAATGCAACTTTGCTGACAGGTGTGTGCGTGTGCATGGGTGCCCTCATGTGCAGTATGTGTTCAGCACCTAGCCTGAGGGTTGAACATTATGGCATTGTATGATGTGAGATTTTTCAACTAGTAGATATTTTGCCACGCCATTTCTCGAGAGGCCACTGTCCTTTTATCTCTTACTGTATGAGGGCTTTGTAGACATATAACTTTTGTTTATAAACCTAAAACACGCATAACCTTTAAAAATGATCTGAGTGTTCTGTAGTATTCATTTCCAGTGGTATCCTCTGATTCAGGCATGTAAAAGCATCTTAACAGCAGTTCACACACATTTCCACCTGTGCTGTCCCACACTGTTGATTACTCAAACTTGGATTGATACATGCAGAGACAGCGTCTTAGAGTCACACAGCATGTTACAAAAGAGAACAATTTCTCAAGAGAATTAGCCAACATTTGCTGTTAATTATATTGGCACAGCACTACCACTTTTTGAAATATTGTTGACCAGCTAATGGATTCAAGGATTATTATAGTTATTTCAATCAGGCAATGGTCCTGTCTGCCTTTTGTTAGGCGGGGTCCTCTGTCAGCCCCCCTCTGAGGTAAAGTTAGAGAACACTGATAAGACTAACTGACGTCACTCCACAGACATCAGCCAACAATGCAGCTATTTATTCCCAGCCAGATTTAGTCCCAAAGCAGGCCTCTCCCGAGAAACTGAGCACAAATGAAAGCAGAATTCTAAGTAAGTGTGCCACACAAACAGTTTTGCAGCTGTGGTGACATACATGTCCTGTATCAGTGGCTGGACAAAGTTGAACAGTACTGTTAAGTGAAGTAGTTTTCTGTGGGAGGCTTCTGATATGTACTGTGCTTTAGGGTTAAGCTACCTGAATGACACAGTGTGTTTGGGGCTGAATTAACAGAGGGTGAGGGGGAGAGAGCGAAAGGTGGAATGCAACTTGAGGAAAGGTGCGTTTTTGGTTTCACTGACCAACAGCATGGTGAAATTACAAGGTAAAGCTCGGAGCAAGGAGGCCTGTGGCTAATATAGCCAGACTTACTTAACATACAGCAGTTATGTCAGTAATCAGAACAATAATACATTTTCTTATGTTTCACTGTGCTCAAAGACTGCAAGTTTTACAGTGAAGCACATCAAAACATCAGGATGTGATGGCGTATTGCAGCATGGTAAAACTAAACATACAGTGCAGTCTGTAAGTATTTGGACAGTGATATGTTTTTCATTGTTTTGGCTCTACTCCACCATGTTAGATTTCAAATGAAACAAAGACTATGAAGTAAGATGACTATGAAGTAAGACTTTCAATTTTAAGGTTGTTCGCATCCATACTGGGTGAACCTTGTGGGAAAGTGTTAAGTCAACACTTAAATGTTTTAGTCATTGTTTCATTTTGAATCCAATGTGCTGGAGTACACTCTCTTAATACTGCACTAACAAACTAAAGATACTAAGGTAATATCAGTACAACAGCATGTTCAGGGGATAAATCCAAGTACAGCATAAGAAATGGAAAGATAAAAGGTGGATTATGGAAAATAATTACTAGCAATGTGGTGTTCTACAAGTGTCAGACAGGTTCTGTTCATTCACACTTCCTGCTGTTAAAGAAATCACCCTTCATTACAGTGAAAGGCTTGCATAACATCCTCTCAAAGAGTTGTATGAAAGGAGACGTAGATGTGTTTTTTATTTTGTTTTGCGTGTGCATGCAAGATGGCTTTCACAATTTCTCTGCTAGCTTACATGATTACATTGTCCTTTTTTGAGCCCCACAATCTCATCTACCATTACTGACCAAGGAAAAAGGAACAATCAGTATTCACTTAAGTTATGTGTAAACTGTACCTTTTTTAATGCTTATTCTAAAACTATACATAGGAATGGAAATTGCCATTACTAGAAATGTGACTGAACCCTGAATGTGAAATGAGAGCTGCTGGAATTCTCCACTTTGCTGCACAGCAGGCCGGGACCTGCCAAGGAATGCAGGGAAGACAGCAGGAGAAGTATAGAGGGAGACTTAATAAACAGAGAGAGAAATGCCAGAGAAGGTAAAGTGAAATATATAAGAGGGGGAATCTTAAATGAGTTGTCTGAAAGGATATAAAGTAGTCTACACAGCAGCATAATAAACGGCTCCCTTTCATTCATTCTTGGTGATTAATTTGCAAACAGAGCAGGCTCAGGCTCTTGTTGTTGTGAGGTGTGACATCTTTGATGTGAAAATTCACTGATAACCAGCCTTGCATTCAGCAGCTCTCCTGTCGGGAAAATCAAACCCAAAAGACAAACTATAAAAAGTGAATGTTGAGAAAACAATGGTCTACATTTGGTGTCTTATTGCATTAAAACAGTTGCTGTTCAGCTGTCAACTCCCAGTTGCTGCCCATTATGTTCTCTAACTTGTTCGTTCTTTGACTTGGTGTGTAATTAAGCAAGTCAGACAATGAAAATCAGTGAAGAAGCCATTCTGGCAGACAATCGGTGATGATAGTTAGTTAGTTTACCAGCATTACGGATGATAAAATATCAGAGGAGCATGTTCTACAAGGTGCAATGTCCTGTTAAAACCACAGACTATCGTCTGCATGCTCTTGGCATGAGATGTCATGGAGTTAATTATACACAAACACAACCACTGACATAGTTGAGCCCAGTTGCTGACTGTGCCTAAAACGTGTGCACTTTCCTGCAATGGCCATTGTGGTGATATGGGAATATTGTGGATGACAGCTAATCTGGGATCAGCTGCTGCTGCTAGTATGAAAACATAGGGACACCTTTTATTTTATTTCTTTCTTTTTTTTTTAATATACAGTGTGTTAGTCTTCTGTATCTGAGCAAAAATGGACTTGATGAAAAGAAGAAGCCTTCTGGGTAATGAATACGCACTTTGAGTAAGAAAACAAAGTTCTAATGATTGGTTCGACATTGAGATTAATATGTCAAACAAAAACGTGATGATAAAAGCACCAGGCATCTGTGGTACGACACATGGGGTTGTTTGTTTCCTTTCAGATACAGTAGCTTGATGCAGTAACTGCAGCCGCCCTAGATGCATAGATAGTGTTATGCTGCCACCCTAGGGGGGCTCCATCCTCCACTCTGTAACTTGAGTGGGCAAAACCTCAGTTTCACATCTCTATGGCAACGCTTTCTCACAGCACAGGTCTCTGTCTGCAACTGCTGATGACACAAGCGCCCTCTGTCCCGCACACACTCGCTATAGATGGCATGCGACGAGCCTTGTGATATCTTAATATGCATATAGCCCTATGGTTAAATTTGCACGTCACATTCATGCTGAGGTGCATGCACACAATGCCATCTTACAAACATTCTTCCACCCACGTATCCCCACTTAAATCCCAACTGAAAACTGGTTACATTTGAACTGTATGCATATAAACATGTTGATGTA